TAGTCTTTTGACTAAAATGCCATTGAGTTTTAGTCATATTTTAGTCATCTGAATTGTTTTTAATTTAAGTCTAGTTTTAGTCGACTAAATATCATAAGATTTTAGTCGACTAAATCTACAGTAAATTTAGTCGGCTAAAATCTAATGAGTTTAGTTACAGTGCATTTATTAAGCATTTCTCAAAAATTTCCAAACTCATTATATAGGTTTGAGATTAAGGTTTTTTCATGATAGACACCGATTTAACTGCGGTGACTCAGTGACACGAAAATTATGACGAAAATCATTCGTCAACGAAATTAACACTGATATTCAGCAATTTTGTGTGTGTGTGTGAGAAAAAAGATAATTTAAAGCCATTATTCTATTAAATGAGAAAAGTGTCAAGTAGACATTAAAACTTTAGAAATAAATATTTTATTTGATTCATCATCAAATTTATTACACAAACGTTTTGGCTACAAAATTGAGCAATTGTTTGTTTATATATACTATGCAGTATGCCAGTTTATATCAATATAAAATGAAATTCATCAAGACTGCACCCACTGATAGCGTGATTAATTTGCACACACTGTCTGTGTAGTTTTAGCACCCCATTCACTAAAGGAATTATACTAATCGGGTATTTGTGATAACGGGCCCACAAAATTAGTGCTTATCACAGTAGGGCGATTCCCTATTTAACAGGCTGTTTCTGAATGCTTAGTTGTGGAGGATGCTGGAGATATACAGTAAGAACCGGGCCGACCTCATCGGTACAGAACAACAACAGTGTCATTCTGTAATGCAGAATAATCATATGCAAAATGCCATCCTGCAATGGTGGTCTTTCTTCGAGAACGCACACACACATACAGTATAGCATAGCAGGAGGTAAACGTACAGTATGAGTGCAGTTGTGCATATGCTGTCATTTATAGTGGTGTTTGTGCGTGTGTGTGTGTGTGTGTGTGTGTGTGTATGTAGTGAAGTTGCTCTTAGTGTGTGTGGATTTCCTCTGGGAACCGGCTAATTGTGTTAGAGCTGGCTGTATCTCATGGCCTCATTCTCTTCACACACATCTTCTGGCCTAGTTCCAGATATGGCCCACCTCCTCTTTTTTTCACTTGCTCTTTTTCTCCTCCCGTCTCTCGCTCGCTGCCTTTTTCCCTCTGCCTTTCTTAAGCCTGACTGTGAGATATAGTGAGTAAGACATCTTTGCTGCCGTAGCACCTAATCAAACAGTGCTTTGGGTGTTAACTGTGGTGTAAGCAAAGCCTCGCTGTTTGGATAGTGACCAGCTCACTGTCTGAATGAAACACTCCCTGCTAACAGAGCAGAAAGAGCCGCTGCTTTATGGACCCTCACGGACCTTTTGAAAATATCTGTGGCACTGTTTCCTGAATAGGGCAGAAAATACAGCCTGTGACTATGAGGAACTTTTTTCTCCTTTTTCAGTGTAAAAAGTGAATGGAGTCAGTGGAGGTGCTTTACCTTTTGAAAATGTTGACTATTAACATCAGGAAGTCAAATTAAAAATTATTTTCTTTTAACTTTCTGTGGGGTTTGACATTGCGGCTGCCTTCCAAATTTGGGACATAATTTAAAAACCTTTTTTGATTTGTCTTGTCTTGTTCTGCTTTGTTTTTTTGTTTTTTTGGTAGTTATTTTACTTTTGTTTTGTCAGCTTTATTTTATTTTGTCAGCTTTACTTTTGCTTTGTTAGCTTTTGTTAGTCTATCTATCTATCTATCGTTCTATCGTTCTATCGTTCTATCTAT